ACGACCCTCAATCCCTCCTTTTGGCAGGAGCGCTGAGCGTGCCGCCCAGCCTGGGCAGCCAGAGCACCGAGCAGGCAGGAGTAGACCAGCAGCTGCTCTTGGCCATCGTTGGCTCCGTGTCCGTCACCTGCCTCACCATCCTCTTTGCCCTCCTGGCACTTTTCCTCATCAAGAAGAATTTTTTCCACCGGCGCCGCACCTTTACATACCAGTCTGGCTCGGTGAGTGCTGCCTGCCCCACCAGGACCATGTCCCCAGCTCCCCACTTCCCAGCCCGATCCAGGTCACGCTCCATAGCCTCCAGTCCGGATGCAGCCAGACCTCACTTCCACGCAGAGAGGGTGCGGAGCCTGTCCTTGCCCACGACATCTGCCCTGCCGGGATTCCCGTGCAGGTAGAGGGGTGCCCAGTGCCTCTAACCTTACCCACTCCCACCTCCCAGGGGGAAGAGACCATCCTGCAGTTCAACTCGGGGACTCTGACCCTGACACGCCGGCCCAAGCCACAGCCCGAGCCCCTCAGCTACCCCATCCTGGAGTGGGAAGACATCAAGTTTGAGGACATGATCGGGGAGGGCAACTTCGGGCAGGTCATCAGGGCCATGATCAAAAAGGACGGCCTGAAAATGAATGCAGCCATCAAGATGCTGAAAGGTGAGTGTGGTGGCAGGCAGGCAGTGTGGGCTGGGGGATGCAGCTACATCCTGGGCCATGCTTGGGGCTGAGGAGGGGCAGGAGCCATCAGTGGAGGAGCAGAGGAAGGGCCCTTGTTGTAAGACTGTGGTGACCATCCCTTCTTTGCTTCCAGAGTTTGCTTCAGAGAATGACCATCGGGACTTTGCTGGGGAGCTGGAGGTGCTGTGCAAACTGGGCCATCACCCCAACATCATCAACTTGTTGGGTGCCTGCGAGAACAAGGGTGAGGACTGTTCCCCTCTCCCCAGCCCCACAGGCCCTGCCCGGCTGTGATTTCCTCTTTGCTGGAGAGACCCCCACAAGCCCAATATCCTTCTGCCCCCCAGGATACCTGTACATCGCCATTGAGTATGCTCCCTACGGAAACCTCCTTGACTTCCTTCGCAAAAGCCGGGTCTTGGAGACAGACCCCGCCTTTGCCAAGGAGCACGGTACTGCCTCCACCCTCACCTCCCAGCAGCTCCTCCAGTTTGCTTCAGATGTGGCCAAGGGGATGCAGTACCTGAGTGAGAAGCAGGTACATCCCCAGCAAGCCCCTCAGAACATCCTTCCCCTGGGGCCTGGGGACTCCCCATCAGGGCATGAAAGCCCTGGGGCCAGCAGGAGGGAGTGTGAAGCTCCTGCTGACTGCTGGACCCTTTCAGTTCATTCACAGGGACCTGGCAGCCAGGAATATCCTGGTGGGAGAAAACCTGGCTTCCAAGATTGCCGACTTTGGCCTCTCCAGAGGGGAGGAGGTCTATGTGAAAAAGACAATGGTGAGGCAGGAGCGAAGTATCTCCATGGGGCCTGCACTGATGCAGTGGGCAGGACCTCCACCGTCAGCAGGAATGACCTACCATGCCAGGACTGGCTGGGTCACAGCTCTCCTCTCTCCGTGGGACATCCCCCCTCCCCTGACAGTTGCTCTCTGTTTCCCCAGGGCCGCTTGCCGGTTCGCTGGATGGCCATCGAGTCCCTGAACTACAGCGTGTACACCACCAAGAGCGATGTGTAAGTCCTGCAGGCAGGGGCACGGGGGGCTGCGGCTGCCTCCATCCATCTCTGGGGTGGTCAGCGCAGCGATGCTTTTGCTCTGGGTGCTGTGAGGGCAGGAGGTGATGATGATGCATCTCCCTGGGGAGCTGCTGGCTCAGCCCAAGCCCTGGCTGCCCACTCCACCCTGGGCTTTTCCCCGTGCTCATCAGTGGGTCATGCCTGGAGGTTCCGTCACAGCCTCGGCTCCTGCTCTTTCAGGTGGTCATTTGGTGTCCTGCTCTGGGAGATCGTCAGCTTGGGTAAGGCACTTCTGTGTACCCTGCCTCCAATTGGGTCCCTGAAAGTCTGGTCCTCCCGCAGCCCCAGAGGGGACACCCAGGGGACAGTCACCCTGCAGCCAGCTCTGTGTCTGTGGCTGCAGGGGGGACACCGTACTGTGGGATGACGTGCGCCGAGCTCTATGAGAAGCTGCCCCAGGGCTACCGCATGGAGAAGCCACGCAACTGTGATGACGAGGTGTAAGTGGGCAGAGAGCCCCAGGGCATGGCGGCACCCACATCCCCCTGCCCCCACCTGCCCCCCCTGCCCCATGGGGATCCCACCAACTTGCTGTAGCTTCCTGCCTGGTTCCCCTCTGTGACTGGGGGGTGAAAGCTCTGGTCCCACAACCCAAACACACTTCCTGGGCTTTAGTTTCCCACCTGTTTCCCCTCATCTCCCACAAACTGCTTCGCTGCCCCCTCTCCCCCCAGTGCATGCTGAGCCACCACCGACTCTCTGCCCCCAGGTATGAGCTGATGCGGCAGTGCTGGCGCGACCGCCCCTACGAGCGACCTCCCTTCGCCCAGATCTCCATGCAGCTCATCCGCATGCTGGAGGCCAGGAAGGTGAGTGGTGGCAGCTCAGCAGGAGGGATGCCCACCCTGCATGGGGCTTGTCCAAATGCTGGAGCATCCCTTGGGCTCAGGGAGGGACATCCAACAGCAGAACTTGTGTGACCCCACCATGCATGGGAGTAACCCCAGAATCAATTTTTGGGTGTGGGGAGCCCCATTGCCTCCCCCCAGGGCGCAGCACCCTCAAACGTGCCAGCAAGGATGGGAGGTAGACGGGGACATTGTCACAACCAGCTCCTGACTGGGGTTCCCCCACAGGCCTACGTGAACATGGCCCTGTTCGAGAACTTCACCTATGCGGGGATCGATGCCACTGCTGAGGAGGCGTGAGGCTGCGCTGGCACCGTGCAGGGGGGGCAATGCTGGCCACAGCCTGCTGGGACAGTGCTGTGGGGACTAGGGGCTGCCTGTCCCTCTCCAGGGCTGAGCAGACAAATGCCGGTGCCCCTTCCCAAGAGCACCTGCCCCACAGCAGGACTGTGCCATCCCCTCCCTGACTGCCTGTGATCATGCTGTCACACCACTGACCACCAACACAGCCCCACGCTGCTGAAGGACATGCTGGGATGGCCCCCAAGGACAAGCAGCAGCAGGGTGTTCCCAGCAAAGCGGGCAGGAGAAGGGCTCTCTCAGGAGCCAGGGTGCTGCTGCCTTAGCCCATGGACACAAAATGCCCAAGGTTTAGGGTGAGAGGGGAAGCAGCAACCTGGCAGCTGCCTGCCCTGCAGCCCTCAGCATGCTCTGGGCCTGAAGTGGTGCCAGCAAGGCTGTGAGCATCACTGCCGGCATGGGATAGGGAAAGGGACGAGGGACAGCACAGTGTTGGCTGTGCATAGCCTCCAGCTCTGCAGTAACCCTTCAGAGGTGCCAGCTCTGCCTTATGGACAATAAACGTTGAGCAACAGGCAGCCGTGTCCAGAGGAGGGGACCCAGCTCTGTGCCCCTGACAGCGCCAGGGAAGAAGATGCAGGGCCCCAGTGGTCTGCTGCACTCCTTGGGATCCTGTCCCTGTTGAGGTCCTCTGATGATCTCCAGGGATGCCCCAGGTCTCATCATGCCATAGGGATGCGTTTTCTTAGTATCCATCTGAGATCTCTCCCCTGCAATTTAAGACTTTGTCCTGTCACCAAGGGATATGGAGAACAAACTATGTCCTTCCTCCGCACAGCTGCATCTTGCATGCTTGAAAACTGTTCCTGCAGCTTCCCCTTGGTTGGCCGCTGTACACAAGGATGGCCTCACTCCTCCAGCCAGTCCCTGTGGGTCTGTGCACCTTTGCACCCTTCCCACTGTGGCCAGCTGGCACTGCCCAGCGCTTCACCAAGCTGTCGGGTAACCCTGCGTCTCGCAAAGGGACGGTTGTGTTCAACCAGCCTGCTCAAACGCATGCCGGTCCCTTGAGGGTCGCCTGGGCTGACCCTCCCGCAGGAGCTTCTGTCCCAGGCCATGGTCCTTCATCCTGCATTGCCGCCATTTGTTATATAGACAGTGGGTGGGCCTTTATCTCTGTTGGCTTCAGCTTGCTAAGCACTAGGCGTGCCATCCAGCTGCCCATCTAGCCGTCTTCTACAGTCTGCAGGACTCTGCTCCTCCAGAGTCCAGTATCTCAGCCGAAGGCAGGGGCATTTGCCCTTCTGGGCAAGAGTCTTTTTTCCGCAGAAGGTGTTTCAACCCTGTCAATACCAGTTTGATTTCCCACTCTGGCCTCCAGTGCTTCTTCGTATCAACCATAGCTGTTAGTAAGCAGCCTCTCTGCCCCATCACTGAAGTCCCCAGTGAAAGGGTGTTGGGGACTGGCTCTTGCAGGCAGCCTGATGTGTGCCACCGCCTGTGTACCTCCTCTGCTGCTGGCTGGGAATGGCATCTGAGTCATTGTCATCAACCCTGCTCAAACCAAGGGCTTTCTGCTTTTTGCCTCCCTGAGGCAAAGCCCAGTAGCTAGATGGAGAAGGAAGTGGGAATTGTTCAACAAATTTTAACCGTGACAAATTGGTGCTGTCTGTTCCTGCCTACCCTCAGTGCCCCTGGTGCTGTCTCTGGCTGCAGGACAAGGAGAAGCCAGCTCACCCTTGACACAGTGGGGATGCGTGTGCGAGTGGCTCCTCATGCCCCGACTGATGGTCCCTGGGCTGTGCCATGGTGCTGCACCCCAGCAGGGTGGGACACCCCTCCAGCTGCCCGCGCTGAGCGGTGGTAGTCGATTAGCACAAGGTTGAGCATGCCTGCAGGACCCCACCATAGTGGTCCTGGTCCTGCACCTACACCACTAGCATCTGTGTGGGCCCTGCCAATGCCCCTGTGCCTGCAGCTCTGCTCCTGGCACAACCACGGGGATGGTGCTGCTGGGCCGTGCAGGGCAGATCCAGTGCACACTAGTGCCAGGTGGCCCAGGGTGGGATGGAGTCAGAGCAGCTGCCCCATGTCCCATGCTCCCACATGCCTGCAGCCCCCAACAGCCTGCCCTGCCCTGCCCCACACAGGGGCCTCCCTGGTTTCTCAGGGGTTGTTTTTCTTCCTACCCCAGCCTCCCGGTGTGCCCTTAGCCACAAGAGCATGACGTGCCGCCTATCTGATAGGAGCAGCTTCTCTTGGCACTGCGGGTGGTGGCGGAGGGGCCACAAAACGGTGGTTTTGGGCACGGGGAAGTGCCGGCGATGGGGTGGGGGGAGCCTCCAGCCAGGCTTCCTGAGCTGCACAGCCGCCACTTCCCAGATAAAGGTACCGCCCGGAGGAGCTGCAGCAGCTCCCAGGACGCTTGGAAGGGCTGAGGCACGCGTGGCCCTGGCACACGGGTTGCAGGATGGCAGCCTGCCTGCACTGGGGCTGGCTGCTCTCTCTGCTCCCTGCCATCCTGCTCAGCCTCCACAGCCCACCATCAGCCCTCGAACCAGTGACATCCCAAGGTAAGACCTTGGGGCCATTTTCTCCCACAAAGAATGGGCCAGAGAGGAGCTGGCACACTGGGCACGGGCAGCAAGCACCCCAAGGCAGCCAAAATCTGCAGGGCTGGGGAACATCCCAGGTGGGTGTGAGGGTGGTCTTCAGGATGGGCCATGGGGCACCCTTCTCACCTGTGGGACACCATGGGGTGCTCAGAGCAAAGGGACATCCCTGGTCTCTTCAGGCAGGACCTGGCAGCCCCCAGGTGCCCCTCTGGGATGGCAATCTGGGACTCCCAGTCCCATGCAGGTAGCAGAGGGAGCTCCCCTCTCTTCAAAAGTTCTTGGAGTTATGGTGATGAGGGTCTGAGCAAAATTCAAGTTAACATCTGATGGCACGGCTCTGCACGGTGGGTGACTCGGTGGCACTGCCAGGCTGATCCCAATGCTTCTGTGCCAGCCTTGCAGTGATCTTACTGCCCCAGGGAGCATCCTCAGCTCAGCTGGTAGCTGGCCCCAGCCTGGTTCACTGCACCTGGAAGAACTGCTTCACGGCTTTCTCCCATTTTAGGCTTGTTCACACTTTCTTTGAGCCCCTCCTAAGTCTTTTTAACACTTTCCATAGCACCATAAAAACCATTAACTGAACAAAATCCTGTCGATATCCTGCTCTGCTCTCCAGCCCCACCCCAGGTCTCTGACTACTGCAGGCTCAGGCACACATTCTGAGTTACCCCTGGAGGGGCAGCGGGAAGAAGATTGGGGCTGGGCTCATCCTCCCTCTGCCCGCAGCTTCTGCAACATCATCGTGCCCTGAGCCCACCACCAGCTTGACAGCATGCTGCCTGAGCATGGCTGATGTGGGCTGCAGAGCTGGGTGGCCGCTCTTCCTGGGAAACGACCTGAGCCCAGCAAAGATGCTCTGGTAGCCCACAGGACTGGTGTGCCCTCCCACTGGTGCCATGGGTCCCTGGGCTGCTAGGACTTAGCCATCCTGGCACTGGGACCCAGCATGAGGGTGGGGACAGTGGGGTGCAAAAAGGGAAGAGCAGGTGGGAAGGCTGTGGTCTGCTTGAAGGGGATGTTGGTTGGGGGAGGAAGGCAACACAGGGCTGGTAAAGGAGGAACAGGTCGGGGGGGTCAGGACAAGGAGAGCAGTGGGGTCCTGCAGCTGGGGAAGCCCCTGGGGAAGGGGGCATATCTCAGGAGGAAGAGGAGAAGGGGGGATGGAGCAGGTCCCAGGCCAGAGGCAGTGGTAGACAAGGGAGTGGTGGAGCAATTCTGGGGGCAACAAAGCCACCCCTTTGCTTCACACATCTGCATCTTGGGACTGTCCCCTCTTCCCTGACAACAGGGACAGGCACCCATGTGCCAGCAAAGCCACCACTGCTTGGGATGGAGATCCTGCAGGGTGTGACACTCCAGTTCATCCCTGCAAACAGGGAGGAGGGAAGCTTGCTGAGTGAGGCAGAGAAACCCACAGCCCCTCAAGCAGTCCCCAGGCTGGGGTTTGAGCATCCCCTCCTGCTCAGGACCACACACCCCCACGCCAGCCCTGAGGCCCTTTCCCTCTCCTCGGGACGCTGCTCCTCCTTATCTCACTTCCGCGCACCTTCCGGCGTGAGCAGGGCAGGGGTGCTTCCCCCCGATCGCCGGGCCCTGAGCCCCCCTCCGACCGCAGGGCTATTTCGGGATGTTTGTTTGTCCTGAAGGACCCCGCGTGCAGAGGAGGGGGGAGTGGTGGGGCCAGCTGGCGGGATCCCTGCTGCCAGCCAGGACCCCGGTGCAAGCCAGCACACATGCCATGTCCCTCCTGGTGGAAGGCACCCGTGCTGCAGCCGTGCCACAGCTGTGCCCAAGTCTGTGCCACGGCTGTGCCCATGCTGCCCCAGGTGCCTGCACAGCCTGGCCTCAGGGGCAAGCTGGCCAGCAGGCATGGGGAGGGGGGACACAGGTGAGGTGGGGGCAGGCTTGTGCCCACAGGCTCCTCCATGCCCACACTCCTCCCAGATGCTGCATTGCTGGCAGGGGTACCTGAGGACATCCTCTGCTTCTCACGGTCCTTTGAGGATCTCACCTGCTTTTGGGATGAGGAGAAAGAGGAGGCAGCAAGCGGGATGTGCCACTTCTACTACTGGTACAGCAGGTAGGAGGTGGTGGGGACACAGCCCAGCCTCCCCCTTGCCTGCACAGAGAACAGCAGGGTCAGGGTGCCATAGCCCTCTGTGCCATCCCAGTGGCTCCCAGCTAGAAGGAGAGATGGTGGAGAGCCCATGGGAGCTACACGGCAGCCACCACACACCCTGTGGCAGGGCTGGGACCTCAGCTGTCCCTCAGTCCCATGAGGATGGTGCCCTGCAGTGGATGGGGGCACAGGGAAGGAGCTGGTTACACTAAGGTCTTGGTGCCATGCCCCAAGTCCCCTCTGCTCCAGCCTGGCCCCAGGCAGGAAGCACGTGGTGCTGCAGGACCCCACTCTCCATTCCTCAGGGACATGCCCACAGCGTGCACAGTGTCCACATGGCACCATGGGGCTGGTGGGATGCGGCACGTTTGCGTCTTCCCCAGCCAGGATGTGCGGCTCTTCACCCAGCTCCACCTCCGTGTCCTGAATGCCACCACCAACCAGACCAAGTACTGGCGGAACCTCAGCGTGGACGCGGTGGGTGAGTCCCTCCCACCGGGACATACCCCTGTGACACCAGGACAGAAGTCCCCAGAACTGGATCCCCTGCCCTTCTGCCTGCTGTGGGGGCTGGCAGCACCCTGTGCCCTGCACACCAAGTATGGAGCCAGCCCTGAGGGGACTGCCAGCTGTCCCCCAGCAGGACCAGGGGGTGCCCAGATGGGGGCTGTCACAGGAGGGCAAACACCCTGGCACATTCCCTGCAGGTCTCATTGCCCCGCCAGTGAATATCACAGCCCGCTGGGCTGGGGCTGCGGGGCAGCTCTGTGTGTCATGGCAGCCACCGCTCGAAGACTACCTGAACTTCTTCCTCTACGAGGTACAGTGGTGCCCTGCCAGGTCCCCAGAGATGCCCTGCAGCACTGCGTTGGACCCCGGCAAGCAGCGCCCTGGAGATCCCTCCATCCACCCAGTGGTCAGCAACCACGCACCCACGGTCAGGGCAGCCACAGCCTCCCTGGGAGTGGGGCAGGTACACAAAGGAGCCAAGGACAGGCAGGGGGATTTGTGGGCCACAGCCGTTCCCCAGCCTGGCCCCTCTCCTGCAGGGGCTGGTCCAGACAAACACCTGGGTGATCCTCCGGGACCTGCGCCCGGGGATGAGGTACCAGATCCAGGTGCGCAGCAAGCCTGACGGCACCTCCATGGATGGCGTCTGGGGGCCCTGGTCACAGGCAGTGGCTGCAGAGACACCCCACTCCTCTGGTGAGCGGCCATCCCCCCCTCTGGGGTGCTGTCAGGCACAGTGGGGAGGCACTCATGGCTGGGGCTGCAAGGGACGGGGGTCCTGGAGTAGGTGAGGTGCAGTACCCAGGTTTTGGGGAGGCAGGGGGAAGCAGCCCCCTCCCTGCCCTGGATCTTGCCTGCCCAGGAGACATCGGGCTGCGCTGCAGCACCTCTGACCTGCAGCACATGCACTGCGAGTGGAGCTGGGACACCACAGAGCCCCGCAGCTCCCACCAGCTCTTCTACCGGCCACCTTCTAGCGGGGCCAGCACAAGGTGAGGGGCATGGTGGGGACACAGCACTCAGGCAGAGGGATGGCATATCCCAGGGACCTGCTCAGTGCCCCACATTCCACACTGTGCCACTAGGCCCTGTGCCCTGACTTGCCACCATCCACCTCAACCCTCCCCACCACCTCCTGGCCCCCTGACTATGGGCAGCACTGGCCTTCCTGGGCAAGTGCAGGAGGAGCAAGGCAGCTCTGGCTGTGGGGGCAGGGCTGGCAGAAGGGAAGGGGAGTGGGACCGCCATGGTGGGGCTGACTGGCTCCCTGCTCTTCACACAGGGAAGACACATGGCAGCTTTGCGAGGAGGAGAGCGTGGGGGCACAGGGTACCCACACCTGCACCTTCCAGCCCAGGGCTGGCAGTGCCATCTCTGTCCTGGTGAACGTCACTCAGCCCCATGTGCCTCTCACGCTCAGCTTCTTCAAGGAGCCCTTCTGGCTGCACCAGGCTGGTGAGTCCCAGAGCCACAGTGGCCTATGCCCTCACCCATGCCTGGCTGATGGTGGACTCGGTGTCCTATGTCCCATTCTGTGGTGGTGACGTGTCCCCGTGCCCAACAGTGCTCACAGATGCCCCACAGCTCATGCAGGCGACAGTGTCGCAGGGCCGGCTGAGCCTGCAGTGGCTGCCGCCCCTGGAGGCACTGGCTGAGCAGTTGGACTACCAGGTCCGCTATGCCGTGGAGAACAGCCATGACTGGAAGGTAAGGCATGGCCAGGGCTGTCTCCCGAGCAGCCCTGCCCACCTCCACTGCCAGCACATGTCCCACACGGGGTCAGGCAGGACGGTCCCACACCCAAGCGCTGCCCCTTGTCTGCCCCGCAGCAGTCATCGTCTCCAGCTCAGCTCTGCCCCGCAGGTCCTGCAGGTCCCACGGGCAGCCAGGAAAGAAGTCCTGGACATACGGCCAGGCACCCGCTACCACGTCCAGGTGCGGGCCCAGCCCAGCGGGCCGTGGTACCAGGGCAGCTGGAGCGCCTGGTCCAAACCTGTTGTGGTTGATGCCATGGCAGATGCGGGTAAGGGACGGGGCAGGACCAGAGGCTGTGGCCAGAGGAGCCACAGAGCCAAGGGTGGGAGACCGAGAGTACTGGAAATGGGATGGGGAGCACTGGGCAAGGGGTGACAGTGGTGGGGGGTCTGGGGAGGGCTGCAGTCCCAGTGTTCCTCTGCCGATGTAGGCTGGATTATCCCGAGTGTTACGGTGGTGCCGCTGCTCTTCACGGGAGTGCTCCTGGGGCTGCGGTGCACCTTCCCCTCCCTCTACAGGTAAGGGCTGGGCCTCAGGCAGGTGAGGGGGGTCCAGCACCATGCTCGGGGGCGTCAGGGCACCCCAGGACTGGGGTGTGCTCTCAACACCCCCTTCCTCGCACCCAGCAATGTGAAGCAGAAGCTCTGGCCTCCCGTGCCCGACCTGCACCGCGTACTGGGCAGCTTCCTCCACGAAAGCAGCAAGCACGGGCAGGTGAGGGGGCCGGGGCAGGGCCCAGCGCGGCTGAGACCCCCCCGGGAGCAGCTCCACGGGCAGCCCCCACCGCGCCCCCTCTGTGTCGCCCCCCAGGCCAGCGCCTTCTACAAGCAGCCGCCGGAGGAGGCCGGGTGGTTGCCCGTGTAGTTTTTATCGGGGCGGCCCGCGCGGCTCCCAGCCGCTCATGAGCAGGTAGGACTGGTTGGCGATGTCGGTGCTGGGCAGCCGGCCGGCAGCCTGCGCTGGCGGCG